TCGATGACACTGTCGAACTCATCTTACAATCGACCATAGAATATAACCGGACCATTCATTCTGTCACGAATGAGAGACCTATTGATACGATACATTCTACACCTTCTGAAGTAAGAGAAAAGATTAAAGAGCGAATCTGTAACGCGCAAAACAGGCAGTTACAATACTTCAACAAAAGTCGTTATGACAAAGTTTATAACGTGGGAGACAAAGTCTTTGTTAAGAATAATCGTAGACTTGGAAATAAAATGACCCCACTTTATGAAGATACTGTTGAAGCAGACATGGGGACCTTTAATAAAGGGGAGGGTGGTCCATAAGGACAACCTAAGATAATCCTTTCAATAAGTCTAAATGTTTCTTCGTCTACCTTTTATTTTTCTTTACGCAGGCTAACACTACAATTGCTTCTTATGATAAACCTCACATTTGCAAAGATTATTGATTATTCGCATTCCGATTATATCCCAATTTTGGACGGGAACGCGATTATATGGAACAAATATGGGTACTGATCTTCCCTCAGACGCATGTTAAAAAGATATTGGAGGCCGATGTATTGCATATTGATACTCTTTTAACAACACTCACCGTACATCATCGGCATGCGAGAAGCATCAATCTTATAGGCACAGCACTGAAGGTTATTGCCGGTACACCAGATGCCGATGACTGGGAGGATGTCAAATTTGTCGAGAAACAACTCGTAGATTCCAACAACAGACAAATAGAAATAAATACGAAAATACAGATCCAAATAGAAAAGTTGACCAATGCAGTAAACACAATCTTAAATACCGAACGAAAGGAACAAATTGATACTGTTAAACTTTTTGAAATTTTAATGGCTAGAAACAGAATGCTGCTTATGGAATTACAAAATATAATTTTATCTGTAACTTTGGCTAAAATCAATATTATAAATCCCACAGTTTTGGACCAGGATGATTTAAAATTTTTTATAAAAAATCAGATCAATGAGCAATACACAGATTTTACCATATCAGAACTAATGTATTTGTCTAAAGTAAAAGTAATATCAAATGAATTTTGTTTGCATTTTATCATTAGATATCCCATTCCAATACGAACATGTCAGAAAATTTCTTTATTCCCAGTTCCCCACTTCAATAAAATTATTCAATTCGCTGACACCAACACTGTGGTAGACTGTGAAGGAAAGACTTATTCAGCAACAGATTGCAAGCACGCAATATCTTCAACCTATTGTCAACTGATGCCAGAGTCAACCTGCGCTCAACAACTCATATCGGGTAAATCAGCACACTGTAATACGCAAAGCAATAATCTTGAAAAAGTGGCAGAAATCGATGATGGAATTGTCATTGTGAATGACGCTATTGCAGAAGTGAAAGAAGCAACCGAAAATGTAAGAAACATAAACGGCACATTCCTAATAACTTTTGAAAAAAATGTGACTGTCAATGGTACGCTGTTCGTAAATAGAAACAACATTGATATGCGGAAACCAGGAACACCATCATTTCCCTCAATTATTATAAACAACCACAGCGAAATTTTAAGTTTATCATCTGTCCATGAGATGAACTTGCAAAACTTACAATATATTGGCGAACTTGAAAGAGATGCAAAAGTGCGGCCAATATTAGTTGGTTGTGTTGTTTTTATGAGTATCGGATTACTCTATTCCATATTGTGCCTCATTAAGCGTAGGGTGAAGAAGAGAGAACAGCGAGATTTTAAATCTGCCGTAGCAATGGCTATAAAGAAGACCGAGGACGGCCTTCACTTAAGTGAGGGGGTAGTTAGCACATCCCTGCCAAACTAACAGGCAACAATGTTGCCTTTGTGAGCTTTGCTTGGTTGACTGTTGTGTGCTTAGCATGGAGTCGTGTTACGTCTGGTGGCGTGACCATGGGAAGTGTAGTGTCAGCGTATTGTCAGCAATTTTGATTTGTTTAGTTTAAGTAGAATAAGTTTTTGATTTGAATAAAGAAGTTAGTTCATTCTAACTCACCAAAAGGCACACAAGTCTTTTTATTAACTTGCATGCTGGAAGTTGCTATGTTTGCTTTGATCAATAGTATTTCTAATTTCTGAGTCTAGTAACCTTTCTAAAGTCTTGAGTTATCTTGTTCCAAACGTTGTAAATGTGTCTGTCACTAAAACTCGGTGTGCAAAATTCTTCAGAACGTGGATGTATTCAAATCAAGATATAACTTAAAGTTTTTAAAAGTGAAATTATTTCGTCGCTACGTGGTATTTCGTTAAATAACGAAATTTGAAAGAAATTCTCATTTGATACTTTCAGAAAATATTGAAATTCTAGTCTTTCTCTATTTACAGAATTTCATTAGTCTACATATTCTGTTACCCGACACAGCGGTAGAGCTAATTAATCGGCAATTAAAACTCTTGGATTGAGGAGAACACAACGGCAACCCTTAAGAACAAAAATAAACTGACAGCCCGGCGACAAAACTACACCACCAAACGGAATACTCGCAGCAGCTCCACACAGAAGAAAAATAAGCAAAACAAAAAAGAGCGCAGCAACAAAAAACGAAAATCGACAAATTCTCGATAGTCGCCATTTGTCGTATCTGCAGCACGAACGAAGGGGGTCCGTTGATGTTATTAATGATGATTGTCTTTTTTTAATTAATTATCCGCAATATTTACCTGTTTTTACTGCCACATCCATTTCTCAAATATTATCTGCAAACAGATTTCAATTTAGTATTGTAACACTTTACACAAATTTTTTTTATTCCCAATGTTCAATTTGTTGATTCTCGGTTTGGTTCACTTTGTCACTTTAATTAAATCACTTGAGTCGTCCGCAACGTATTCCCACGATTTGAATTCAATTGCCATTTTCTCAATAATAAAAACGTCGCCTCGCTCATTCATAGTTGAGACCGATTTTCTGTTCAAGAGTAAAGCTACAAAAAATTGTAGTAGTAGTAGTGTTGTACGATTATCGAATATTTCATAGTTTACTAATTACTTTTTGTTGGGGAGTAATTGTGTTTTGTAGTGATAAGGAGTTGGAACAGAATGAAAGCAGATGGCGGTTGGCGTTTGGGTGAGTTTGTTGAAATGTGTGAGAAGTAGGACGTATGGTCTTGTAATTTTTATCATATGTAGTCCTCGAAGCTCTGATTACGATGATATTTATTGGCGGGAATTTGCATTTTCTAAGATATGGTCCTCCGAAGTTCGGCAGGTGCTTTGTATTTTTTTCATAATTTTTAAAATTCAAAAAAATCATTTTAAAAATTCAATTCGTTGATGTTCTGATTACAAAAATGTAGTTTCATTATCAAAGAATTTCCGATTTCCATGATGAGAGGTTTCAAAATTTCGTGGGAACCTTTTAAAATCCTCTTAAGTAATAAGTGTACCCACTAAAAGCGACTGAAGTGATAATTGCATATCTGACCATAGGAGAAAGTCTGAAATCCCCTAGTCGAAGCCTTTAACCATCCACCGTTTTAAATTGATACCAGCATTGTCCAGCATTGTAAAAGCGACTGAAGTGATAATTGCATATCTGACCATAGGAGAAAGTCTGAAATACCCTAGTCGAAGCCTTTAACCATCCACCGTTTTAAATTGATACCAGCATTGTCCTGGCGAATTTTAAAAAGCAAGGGTAACCACAAGTTTCCATGAACAAACTTGAAGCCCTATGTTGCACTAGCCAAATTGTAAAAGCATGAGAAAATTAAGGGAGCTCAGCGGAACTTTTTAGGCCCAATCTCCGGAAGTATGGATTTCCGAATGAAAAAACGGCCTCACGGACTACATATTATTGCAACAATATTCTTCCTGACATTTGGCTCCTAAAGTTCCGCTGAGACCATTGTATTTTGTAATGTCTTTAAAAATCAACAAAAGCAATATGATTATCTATTTATGACGGTTGAAATCTTTGGACTGTTTATTTGTTCTGGAAGTCTACAGTTCATATGGGTAGCAAAAATTCCTTATATACACTTTATTCTATGGAAAGAAATCCGCTACGTCACAGAATCTACTTTTAAATAGTTTTTAATGGGCTATATCTCAGGAATTATGTATTTCCGCAAGAACAAATGTATATCAGTGACTCCTTGTAATTAGTTCGCTATAGTGATCTACGATCGCTAAATATTGAAGCAAGTAGACACGTCTTTGAGTTTAGGGAAAGTTGTCCAACTTCATTGATTGCACGCTTTGAGATTATTGGCCAATTAGATATTGAGTTTCTACATCCAGATTTCTCAATTCATCTAGTTCTCGCTGTAGATATTGCGCATTATCCATATCGAAAATGTTTGTCAGCTACTTCATTTCCCTTTATGTAATTATGACCTGGTTACATAGTAAATGTTCTCCTTCTATACGGTGGTATTCCACACGATATTATATGATTGGACATAACCGGTCAAAAAAATACTCTTAGGCTCTATATCCACATTCATTCCATCTAGTTGTCACTGTATATCTTGTGGATTTTACAAAATTCGCAGATTAGAGACTACTTTACATTAACATTAATTGCTATATTGATTGACTGCGATTCACATTGAGCAGGCTCGCCAGCTACTTCAGTGTAACTTCGAGACATCCGAGGCAAATGACCTTTGAAGTTGATACTGGTGCTGATGATCTTCCCATCGAAATAATGGATGAATCAGCATGAGCAACCACCAAAGGTGTCAATGCAAAAAAAAAAAAAAAAAAATTTTGACAAGAGTGTCACTCAAAAGTGATAGTGTGTACGCCGCTTTAGACTTTTCCGTACAGATAACCGATTAATCGATTAGTTGAAAGTCGATTTAGTTACCCCTAGTAACCGCATTGTATTAATTTTTCCCCTTTTCTAAAATACAACTTTCTTTCGTGGCTTCATATTGTTTTTGTTCTTGAAACGAAATAATTTAATAAAAATAAGCGAATAAGTCATTAAAAGTCACGTTAAACACCCGAGCAACAAATAAACTATAAAAATGGCGGCACGTAAAGGAGCTCCCACTGCTGAGGATTTGTCAAATGTGGAATTCGAGACAAGCGAAGATGTGGAGGTCATACCCAGTTTCAATGCTATGAACCTCAAAGAGGAATTACTCAGAGGCATTTATGCTTATGGTAAGTAGAACGAACCTACTTGGTGCCACATCATTTTCGAAAGTATTTTCACAAAATTTTAACTATTCCTACCACTAGGTTTTGAAAAACCCTCTGCCATCCAGCAGCGTAGTATTAAACCAATTGTCAAAGGGCGGGATGTTATTGCACAGGCTCAGTCGGGTACCGGTAAAACGGCAACATTTTCCATTGCAATACTACAGAGTTTGGACACATCGTTGAGGGAGACCCAAGTTCTCTGCCTGTCGCCCACACGTGAATTGGCGGTACAAATTCAAAAAGTTATTTTGGCATTGGGTGATCTAATGAATGTCCAGTGCCATGTTTGTATTGGTGGTACAAATTTGGGTGAAGACATACGTAAATTGGATTATGGCCAGCATATTGTTAGTGGCACACCAGGTCGTGTCTTCGATATGATTAAGCGGAGAGTTCTACGTACTCGTGCCATAAAAATGTTGGTGCTGGACGAAGCCGATGAAATGTTGAACAAGGGTTTTAAGGAACAAATCTACGATGTTTATCGTTATTTACCACCAGCAACACAAGTAGTGTTAATTTCTGCTACCCTGCCACATGAAATCTTGGAGATGACATCGAAATTTATGACAGACCCCATTAGAATATTGGTCAAACGGTAAGTGATGAAATTGAAATTTATTTTTCAAATCTAGTTATAGAGCCGGCATTACTGCAAAAGATGGGAGAATGATTTTTTATAGATATTTACTAGATAATATTTTATAATAGAAACAGTAGTTCAGTCCCACAAATAAATGACAAGGTATAGAGAGGTCAGTTATAGTCTATATGCATAGCCCGGCGTAAAAAATTACAAGCAGTAGAGGCATCAGAATTAGCAAATAAACGTTATGAGCATGGGGAATGGGTAACGCTGGCGTCTTCCATCGATTAAGTGTCCAAAACTACATTTATCTGAGAAGGGCTCAAATATTACAGATACTTTGAAGGATAACAAACATAGATTTAAAATATGAATTTCATTGTTCAAGGGTCCCAAACTATATTTATTCGAGAAAAAACGGCTTAAATATTACAAATATTTCGCCAGCTACTTCAGTGGAACTGAATGGCAAATGACCGAGGCCAACGACCGTTGAAGTTGTTGTTGTTGTAGCAACTATCTTCATGTTTGTTGTATTAATCTGGTTCTGACTCCTCTGTTTCCAGGTTCAGGAAGGTTGCAACCTGTAACGGCTGCGTCCAAAGAGATTCCGGAGACAGATGAGTGGGTTTAGCAGGGCAGTTAAAGAGATGCAGCGTATCATGGGGTCCAAATCCACATGCAGGGCATGTGTTTGGAACCGCGCTGTCAATTCGGGCCCAATACGAATTGAGGCGGCTGCACCATCCTGATCTTAGTTGGGCTAAAACCACTCTCGTTTGTCTAGGCAGCTCACGTTCTTCTGCTGCTATAGGTGGTGGGTGGACTCCAAGTACAGCATTCACACGGTATTGGTCCATTGCCTGGGTCACTGCTTCCGTGTGAATGTTGGTAATTCCTGCTCGATAAGCCTCAAGATCTAGGGGTTCTCTCTTATACCGTTGGACCTCTCTCTCTAGATCATGTAGGTCTCTCCTTACGTGCCTGGGTGGGGGAATTCTATCCATAAGATTATGGCATGGATGATTCCTGCGATAACACCCAAGCAGGTACTGCATCGACAACATCCTGTTGTGCCGATGTACGGGTAAGACCATTGCCTCCTCATGTAAATGGTCCACTGGCGTCATAAGGAGGCACCCTGTCGCAGTTCTCAGGGCGGCATTCTGGCAGGTTTGTATGTTCTTCCACTGCGTATCGCTTACATTCGCATACCACACTGGCGCCGCATAGCTTACCACCGACCGACCTATTGCTTTGTAAGAGGTCAACAAGGTCTCTTTATCAGCACCCCAAGAGCTGCCGGCAAGCGACTTGAGGACCTTGTTCCTACTTCTCATCTTATCGCAAATAGCGGTGGCTTGCGCGGACGACTTAAATAAGCTATCGAACGTTACTCCCAAAATTTTTGGGTAATTAGTGGTCGGAATTATTACACCATCGACCATGACGTTCAGAGGGAGCTTCATTTCAGCCGTCCATGTGGTGAACAGTGTGGCTGTGGATTTGGCGGCGGATATCTTCATATTCCTCAGATGGAAGAACTGTACTAAATCAGCTATGTAGACATTTAACCTTTCACAAATGTCATCGATAATAGGCCCCGACGCCATGATCGTACAATCATCCGCGTACATTACGATCTCAATGCCGTCCGGTGGTTGTGGAATTTCAGAAAGGTAGAGGTTAAACAGTTCCGGAGATATGACCCCACCTTGGGGAACTCCCTGTTTCACTCTACGGGGTTTAGACTTCTTGTTTCTGAATTCCACATATGACTGGCGACCACACATGTAATTGATTATCCAACGTTTCAAACTAGGCCGGAGGTTGGTCTTCTCTATGTCCTCGAACAGCTTGGCGTGATTGACAGTATCGAAGGCTTTCGATAAGTCAAGAGCCACCAAGACTGTTCTGTCACACGGCCTGTTCTGGTTAAGTCCTCTACTTACATGTGTGGTTATGGCGTGTAATGCTGTGGTCGTACTATGCATTCTTCGGAATCCATGTTGATGTTGAGGGACTGGAAACCTACTTCTCATCAGAGGGAGGAGTAGTGACTCAAGCGTCTTTGCTACTGGAGACAGAAGGGAAATCGGCCTGTACGATTCACCTCTGCTGGCATCCTTGCCTGGTTTCAGTAGCGGGACCACCCTGCCTATTTTCCAGGCTTCAGGAACAATGTGGGTGGCTACCGACAGGTTGAGAACAGCAGTTAAATACTCCACTCCAGGTTCATCCAGTTGCTTCAGCATTATCATTGAGATTCCATCCGGGCCCAACGCTTTGGATGATTTAGCGTTTCGAATGGCATCTGCAACATCATCCTTCGAAAATTGTGGTGGTACCTCCTCGGCTCGGAGGGCTCTAATGCGACGAAGCACACTCCTTTTCGCCATGTCACTCTCGGGGTGCTCAATAAACTGCCGGTTAAAAAAACTCGCGCACCTCTTCGGATCAGTCAACGTTACGTCGTTAAACGTGACAGCCGTTCTATCATCCTTCCTTCCAGGATTCGAGAGTGACTTAACCGTTGCCCACAATTTACTTGTTGCGGCTCCAATGTTGCAGAGCTTCAGGTGGTCTAGCCACTTTTTCCGCTTGTGTTCGCATACTAACCTGTTGACTTCAAGGGTGAGTTCCTTCACTCTTGGGTCCTCAGGTGTTGTACGGCGAAGCTCATCACGCTCATTCGCAAGCACCGTCGCTTCTGCTGGGAAGTTTGGTCTCACTTCGGGTATTCGACCAGCAGGTATATGGCGGGCGGCTGCAGCAGTGATGATGTCTCGGAATTTCTTCTCAGCTACCCGAGGATCTGAGGGAATGGGCAGCTCTCTGAAGCGGCGATTGGTTAAATCTCTGAAACCTTGCCAATTAGCTTTACCATGGTTCAGGAAAGTTCGGCGTTCAGAGGTTATGAAATCGGGTGGTCTATTTACGGAGATGATGATGGGGAGGTGGTCTGAACCAAGAGAAATGACGGGTTGCCAGATTACGTCATTAATCAGACCTGGTGCCACAATGGTGATGTCCGGCGAGCTGTGGCAATCTCCTCTAATTCTCGTGGGGGCATCCTCATTCACCGTGCAAAACGTGGAGCTGTCAATTTGCTCTGCCAGCGCTGTACCCCTCTGGTCATTACCTAGGACGGAATGCCAGAGTTCATGATGGGCATTGAAATCCCCTAGTACCAGACGGTTATTACCCTCCAAAAGTATACTAATGTCGGGTAAATAACGCGGGGTACAGCTATTTAACGGCGGGATGTACACGTTAAGCACCTCTATCTCGGCAGTACCACACTTGACTGCTACCCCCATACACTCCATATATGGGTCACTAGAGTCTAGCTCAAGCGAGATAGGTCTGTATTGTACAGAGTGGTGTAACAAGAAAGCAAGTCCCCCACCTCCGCTTCTAGTGCGATCCTTTCGTAACACGTTGTAACCATCGCAACGGTGCAAGCTACAGGTATCAGACAGCTTGGTTTCCTGGATCGCGGCGACCATGATGTTATTCCGATTCATAAAGTCTACGATTTCGCTGATTTTATTTCGCAGTCCATCGCAGTTAAACTGCAAAAACGATGCATTTCCGGGGCGTACTACAGCAACATGTGGTGTTAGACTCTGCGTTTGCTGCAGAGGAGACTGTGGGGGTGTCTCATAATCCGACGACGACGAAGACGTTGACGACGATAACGTTGGCGACGCAGGCGTTGACGACGATGTCGTCGAAGACGAAGACGGCGAAGATGATGAGGACACGCTGGGAGATACGCTGACGCAGCATGCAGCAAAATAACTCCTGTCACAGTAGTCCTGGAGACGACTAAGACCCGAACAGCCGCGGAAATGCACCCATTCCATACATCTATTGCATCTCACCGACGTTGATCTGTGGTGGATGCGGTTCCGACAAACGGAACAGAACCAAGGTCCGGGGTTTCTTTCTATCCCGGCGCGGACCAGAAGAGTTCGGAGCAGGCATCCCGGGATATAACGCCTCTCCCATGATGAAAAAATACGGCACAAACATGTAGTACTACTACTACCGTTGAAGTTGATACTGGTGCTGATGATCTTCCCATCGAAAAGATTAATTTCTGCCATCGGTTTACCGAACGGGACAGGGACTCGATTTCCAATTAGGAATTCCATCTGATTAAAAGGAATCTCAAATTAATTCGAAATTTCTCTCGGAACTATTCGATTGACACCGCGAGGAACTTCTTAAATAGATTTCAAATAAGGATTTCATTGATTAAGGTTTCCAAATACGTCGGAGAGAAACAAATATGCGTGGATTAGGCGATCAATTGGTTGGAATGGCAAAAACAAAGGTAGATATAAGACTTCTTGGTTTTTAGTTTAGTTTAGGGGCTCATCTCCGATTTTTCTTAAATATTACCTTCATTGGTCCATAAATGACGAAGTTATGAGCCTAGGAATTTCAGAACTTCAGAGTTCCATATCTCGGGAAGTATGAACTTCACCCATGAAAGTCAAATATTTTCGTGATCATGGAGACGAGACCTACACTAAACTCAACTTCTTCCTTGGTTTGTCAGTGAGTACTTGGAGGCCCTGGTGATACCAACGTTGGCGTCGGTTCGCTTGGATTCGGAGTACGAAGATGACTATGTCTGTTGGAGTTGCCAATCATCTACTTGGCGCATCTTCCCGGGTGTCGGATGGGAAGTGGGTTTCTATGATGTACAGGTTGAAGCTGACCTAAGTCAAACTAGGTCGGATTTTTTCTCTGCACTTCGTGGAAAACCTTGGGGACCTTCGGATCCCCTGTGGACCTAAATGGATCAGGGTAGTACCCTTAAATTAATTAACTAAGGTGTTAAAAAGAACAGGAGAAATATAGTTACGGTGCAGGTAGTTGATAACCCAGTACCGGCGGGAATTGTTGATGAGACCACAAGCCACGTGTCGTCGAGATCAAGCGATTGTGATCCGGCTGCAGCGCATCAAGTTTACGAAAAAGATGACGATGTCTGGTTTGTTGTTCAGCTTCCCTTGAAAGACGATAAGATCTTGGGCGATTAATATAAAAAGGCAATGATGCGCTTTATACGTTTGTAGAAGAGTTCAAGCAAAAATTAGCATAAAAAATACACTGAAATCGTAGACGGATGCAAAGCAGAAAGAAGTTAAAGAGACGAAAAAGGAAAGTATTACCTACCTCATCAAGCGGTGATACGAGAGGATAGCTTATCCCTGAAAGTTAGGGTGGTTTTCGATGCTTCATGTACCATCACTACCAACGGAAGAAGTCTCAATGTCATTATGTATGTGGGGCCCCGTTTCTAAAGATATATTTTCGACATATTAATTCAAAAACAAAATATATGCGATAATGGCAGACGTGGAGAAGATGTTTAGGAAGATGATGATCGACGAAGAAGTATGGACTTCTTCGACAAGAATAATACATTTATGTAATCAGAAATTCAAGCTCATCATGAGAAAATTCAAGGGCCAAATTGAAACTTTCGAGGCTTACATTTCTGGAAATAATCCGTATCTGCATAAAATAATTCCTACCGTTGTAATTAGGATATCAAGGACTCACTCGGAGCCTTTTTGAACCACCACAACAAACACTTGAAGCTCCTGTTTAAAATACTGGCGAAGGACGATTGTTGTTAACCACCTTGCTTCAGATCTTATTACAAAGAGACGAGACGTATCTTTTTAGAAGATAACATTATAAATACTTTTTTATAGCCACACAATTATAATCGTAATTTTTTAGGAATACCTTTTTAAAGCCATAAATGAAGTCCAAGGAGATCAGCAATTAAAGTAGAATATCACAAATATTAATCTAACATAAATCAGAACCCCCGCTGGTCTAATTTTACACATTCAATCTTCAATATGGTTATCTTTTTTATTTTAGACTATATATATATATATATATATACTATATATATAGTTTCCGAGGGACCAATAGAAATGACACACATTTTCATTTGAATTATGGAAATTTAAACTAATTATAATTTTACTTTGTTTTTCAGTGATGAATTGACACTGGAAGGTATCAAACAATTTTTCGTCGCTGTCGAACGTGAAGAATGGAAATTCGATACATTGTGTGATCTGTACGACACTCTGACCATCACACAAGCTGTTATTTTCTGCAACACAAAACGTAAGGTCGATTGGTTGACGGAGAAAATGCGTGAGGCAAATTTCACAGTTAGCTCTATGCACGGTGATATGCCACAAAAGGAACGTGACGAAATTATGAAAGAATTCCGTGCCGGTCAATCACGTGTCCTCATTACCACCGATGTCTGGGCACGCGGTATTGATGTTCAACAAGTCTCACTGGTTATTAATTACGATTTACCCAATAATCGTGAATTGTACATTCATCGTATTGGTCGTTCGGGTCGTTTCGGTCGCAAGGGTGTTGCAATTAATTTCGTCAAATCCGATGATATTCGTATTTTGCGTGATATTGAACAGTACTATTCGACACAAATAGATGAAATGCCAATGAATGTTGCTGATTTGATTTAAGCTGGAGGAGGAAAGTTCGATGTTCGATGGAGGCAACAACAAATATTTTATTTAGCTTAAATAAATACTTATTAAAAAAAGAAAACAATATTTCCATGGTAAGAAAATGGAAGCTCATCCAGAAAATTATAAAACTGTGGATTTTTTCTATTTCGAACAAAATTAAGCATTTCGCTAAATATGAAAAAATGAATTAACTTTGCGTTTATTACAAGAAATGCTTAATTGAATTAAGGAATCACTTCGTATCATTTATTTTTTATACCATCCATAATTGCGTGTATAAATTTAACAACTATAACAACAAAAAGAAAAACAATTATAATACATTTAGTAATAAAACTAAATAAAACAAATTTATTTAACAAAATATTGGATTTGATTTTTTTGTTCCATTTAACGCGTGTTTAGATTTCGGGCTTCACATTCAACGAATATTACTTGAAAGTATCTTCTATCTGAGCGAATTTGTATCTATGAAATCAAAACATAATTGCTGTTAACGATTTCAATTAGGACAATAATTCAGGAGGTTGAATTGTCAATGCATTGCAATCAAGAATACAATTTATAGGACATATCTAGGTGATATGAATCTACAGCATGGATTAAAAAAAGATACTGCTTCTAAACTGCTTACTTAGACCATAGTAGCATCTGTTGGCCATCACAATCCTTCTCCGAATTTCAAAACTGATGTTATTCGTTTTATTTATGGCGGTACCAAAGTATATATTAAATCATTAACTACCTCGAAGCTGTAGTTCTCAAGTTCCACAGTTGGTCCGAGTCTACTGGACGTCTTGCGCTTTGATACCACCAGCTTGGTCGTTTAATGCCAAACCCACTTTGGGAGACTCCATCTCAATTTGTTAAAAGGTGGCTATTACCACTCTCAATGTTCGGCTCATTATGTTCATGTCAGGATGTTAAAAAGGTCACACGACAAATTGTCACCTTGTTTGAATCCTCGTTCGCTATTGAAGGGCTCCGATAGGTCCTTTCCGATTTTAACTGCTGACCTTGTGCCACTTAAAGTTATCCTGCATAGCCGTATTAATTTTGCAGGAATGCCGAAAGTAGACATGGCTTTAAACACATCTGAACGGATATGGCTGTCGAATGCGGCTTTATAGTCGACGAATAGGTGGAATGTGTCGATGTGTTTTTCGTGAGTCTTTTCCATGATTTGGCGAAGAGTGAAAATCTGGTCAATGGTGGATTTACATTGGCTTCAGTCGTTCACACAGCACACTGGATTGCACTTTATATGCGATGGGAAGGAGACTTATTCCCCTATAGTTGGTACATATCGTCTGGTCCCCTGTTTTGTGCACGGGACACAGTATGCTGAGGTTCCAATCATTGGGCATGCATTTCTCAAGCCAAATTATATTCATCAGCTGGTGCATGCTCCTGACCAGCATCTGATCACCAGTCTTGAATAGTTCGGCTGGTAACCCATCGGCTCCTGCTGCTTTATTGTTTTTGAGCCGATTAATTGATTTTATGACCATCATCCCTTATTGGTTCTGGGGTATCTTCTTCACCGCCACTATTTGATACCAGAAGCTTTTCTAAATGCTCCTTCCAGAACCTCAACACGCTGTCTGTATCTGTCACCAGCTTTCTCTCTTCATCTATACAAGATGATGTTCCTGCACCGAAACCTTCGGTTTGGTGTTTTACTCGTTGGTAAAATTTCCGGACTTCATTCTGACTCATGTACATCTCGATTTGCTCACGCTCACGTTTTCTTGTTCTTTCTTTTTTTCTGAAAATACGTTTCTCCTTTTCTCCCGATAATTCTCCATCAAATTACGTGTTGCTACTGTCTGTAAGGTTGCCCTATACGCTGCGTTTTTCAGATCAGTAACATTACGACACTCCTGATTGTGCCATGGGTTTCTTGGTGGTGGTTTTTGGTACCCAAATGTTGATTTTGCTGCAGTATGTAGGGAGTGGGCATTTCTTTGCCATTGTACTTCTATATTATTATCAGGACAAGAAGGGCTTTCGTCAAACAGGTGGGTAAGTTGAGCGGAGTAGGCCTCGACTACCAGTTGTTTTTGCAGCTTTTCGACGTGGGGTTTCCGTGTTGTGTTAGATCGCACCTTTGCTGCTACATTAAGACGGGTGCGAACCTTGGCTGCTAGAAGATAATTGTCCGAATAGATATTCGCTCCTCGAATCGATCGAACGTCTAATACACTGGACGATTGCCTTCCGTCTATCACAACATGATCTATTTGATTTCTCAGGAGAAGTCCAGGCGGGCTTGTGTACATCGAGATGATTGAATCTGGTGCTGCTAACTACCATGTTTTTGCTGCCGCGAAGTCAATCAACCTCATGCCGTCAATCAATCAAAGATGCAACTAGACGTAGATCTAATAAAACAATATTTTTAAAACTGTATTTTCGATATCCTCCTTGGATAAAATAAATGGTGATAGACATTTTAAAATTTATTATTTTATTTATTTACAAAAAAAATCTATTACTTAAGCTTAAAATAATAAATAACTTAAATTATTATGTCTTATACTAAAAAATACAAATTAATTTCCATTCCATCCACTACACAACTAATCTATAATTCTGTTGTTTCCAATTTCCTTGCAAGTATCTGAGCATTATTAGTTAATTTATCAATTTGATTGTAAACATTAAAGTGACGATTTAAATCGTTGGTTTGACTGAATAGTTTCGCCGTACCCTTTAGGGTTTCCTGTATATTGGGTGTACCCACGGCCAGAAAGTTATCATCCAAACTGTCGTGACCACTTTGACTGTTGAGAAAAATAAAAATGTTATGAACATTTCGATTTTA